GAGCCGGAGAGGATCCGGGACCTTGGGAGGCAGGAGAGCATGTAACCCATAAATCGTGTGCAGCTGCCAGCTCGGGTGTTCTGTCTGGTCATTCCCCTCCACCCTCGGAGGGGCCGGAGACATCCGAAGACCAGGAAGGGTAAGCATCCAAGCGATGGTCCGGGTGTAGAGACGCCGGACAGGTTACTCCTGTTCTTGGCCTCTCCGAAGCTTTTGGAGCTGTTGATCCCTCTCTCCTCCCTGATATTCTCTTCTCTTCTCTCTCGGTGTTCAGGGACACCCTCTCTCCTCTCCTTGCTTTCCCCCTTCCTATCTGACCACGCCTACTTTGGATCCTCCTCCATATTGTGCTTTCTAACCTCAGGGCTCTGGCCTAGGCCCTCATCTCTTCTCCCTCTATATAACTTCACTTGGTGATCTCATCAGCTCCCCTGGATTTATGCTGACGATTCTCCAATCCACCTTTCTTGTCCCAGTCACTCTGCTGACCTCCAAACTCCCAAACTCAGTATGTCCAAAATAAAACTCATCATCCTTTTCCCCAAACCCTCCACCCTTCCCTGTTACTGTAGAGGGCAACACCATCCTCTCACTCCACCTGGGGGTCATCTTGTATTCCTCACTACCTCTCAGCCCCCCGCCTCTGCCATGTCCTGCTGTTGCCCAGGCCTGCTGATTTTACCTTTGCACCACGTCTCTTCTGACACTGCCACCACTCAACTGCATGCCTTCCTCACCCCGTGCCTCAATGACTGCAGTAGCCTGTCGGTGGGCCTGCTTGCCTCAAGTCTCTCCCCATTCCAACCCATTCCCCATTCAGACACCAAGGTGCTTTTCCTAAAACACAGGTTTGATCCCTATTCGGTGAACTTCTTGTGGCCTGCAGCAACAAATACAAAATGCTGTTTGGCATTTGAAACCCTTCATAACCTCGCCCCTCCTCCCTTTCCAGTCTTCTTATGCCTCACTCCCCTGAATGTACTCTTTGATCCTGTGACACCGGCCTCCTGGCTATTCCATAAACATCTTAGAGCCTCAGGTATTTTCTCTGGCTGTCCTCATCGTCTGAGATGCTCTCCTTCCTCCACTCTGACTACTGACCTCCTTGGCTTCCTTTAAGACCCAGATAAAAAAAATCCCATCATCTACAGGAAGCCTTCCCTGACCTCTCAATTCCACTGCCTTCTCTCTGCTAATCATTTCTCATTTATCCCGTATATGGCTTGCTTTGTATGTACTGTTGGCATGTTGCCTCACCCATTAGATTGTGAGCTTTTTTGAGGGCAGGCGTTGTCTTTTGCTTTTTTTTATCCCGATCACTTAGCACAGTGCCTGTTGTAGCTTAATGTTGGAATTTAAATGATTAATTGAAACAAACCAAAAAAAAAAAAAAAACCAGAGAGGGAAAAGACAGCCTGTATTTATTTCCTGCATTAGGTATGATAGAGCAAAGGTTCTTAATCTAGAGTCCATGAACTTATTTTGACGATTATCTTTTCAGTTTTTTTAATTAGTTTTTCAAATTCAGTCTTATTTTCAAACACACATTCTCTTCTCACCTCCCCCTTCACACTCCACACCTCCATTGAGAAGGTGAGAAAAATAAATCCTGTTACAAACGCTACAGTAAAGCGAAATGAATCCTCACGTCATCTTGTCTCCCTCCCTTCCCCAATGTGCTTCAGTCTGCACTGAGTCTGCACCTCTCTGTCTGGAGGTGCACAGCAATTCCTCTTGGATTGTGGCTGGTCATTGCGTTCATCAGAGATCCTGACGTTTGTCTTGACAATGTTACTGTTACTGTATAAATTGTTCTCCTGGTTCTGCTTACTTTACTTTGCATCATTTCATACGAGTCTTACCAGGTTTCTGTGGAATCATCCCCTTCTAACTAGGTGCCATCGAGCTTTCTGGAAGTTATCAGAGGCTGTGATCGTGACAGTTCTCCTGGGGCCCGTTTGTGGCTCTGCGGCTGCACTGCCCAGCCTCTGTGGCCGAAGTTCCGACCGGCTCGACCGACCTTCCTGCCGGTCTGTATTGGGCAAGCGCACAAGCCACCGGGACTCTCCGAACTACGTTTCCCAGACACCCTTGCCGATTCAGCTCCCGGCTTTCCGGGCGGGATTGGCCGGAAAAAGCATTCTCCTTCCGCTTCCCCCTACGTCACTTCCGTTCCCTCTTGGGCCCCTCCCGGCTGCTCCGTCCTCAGCCTCCGCCTCCGCCTCCGCTTCCTCCGGGGCCCGAGCCCTGCGTCCTCCCGGGCCGGAGCCCTGCGTCCGTCCTGGGCCGGGGTGAGTGGCAGCCGGAGGCCAGGTTGGGCGGGCGGAGGGGGCAGAGCCCTCGGCTCCGGCGTGCGAATCCCCGGGGAGGGTCTGGGCTGGGGGGGGGGGGAATCACGCCTGCGCAGCTCGCCTCTTCTCTCGAGCTGGCTCGGCTCCGCCCCCTAGGCCAGCGGGCACACCCATTGGCCCGGAACACCCGGGGTTCCACCTCCCCCGCCTTTCGTCCTTGGTTAGTTTTGGCCGGAGCTTGGCGAGTGCTGTGCCAGCGTGGAAAGTGTGAACTTGGAGGTTGTTTCTAAAATGCGGTCTCGCGTCTCGCCGCAGCCTGGGGAGCCGCAGCGCAGGGAGGTGGGAAGACCCGAGTTCAAATTCGGCCCCAGACACTGTGTGACCCCGGGCAGGTTATTTAGCCGCTGCCTGCCTCAGTTTCCCCATGTGTAAAATGTAGATCACAATGATACCGACCTCCCACCGTGGTGAGAATGAGAGATGTTTGTGAAGCGCTTCCCGAACCTTAAAGCGCCGTATAAACGCTAGCCAAAGAAAAAAGGAAAGATAACTTGATCCAGCCCGTACTGCCCGATCCAGCAGTCACACAGTGCTTACCAGGGGCCTGGCACAGGGGCTGCAGAGACCCCCAGCTTCCTCTTCAAGTACAGCCTCATCCCGGAAGGAGGGTGGTGTCCGTGCACAACAAATATTAACCAGATCTGGTCACAGCTGTCCACAGCTGACTTTTTATCTCCATTTCCTTCTCTCTGCCTCAGTTTCTCCATTTGTGAAAGGGGCATGAGACACTTCCCTGCCCTACTGGGCTGTTAAGATAGGGCTTTGTGAAGCCGCCTGGGATTGCTGGCCGCTCCTCTTTCTCCCTAACCCCTTAACCTCTCTGTGCCAGTTTCCTTCATTTAAAATGAATACTTTACTGGGGATATCACACGATTCTTGCCAGGAAAGGGCCCTGTTGATCTCAGCCTTCCCTGGAGGGGAGCTGTGTCTTTCCTTTCCTGTTCGGCCTTCTCCCCTCCCTTCCCCCGCAGTCCCTCTTACCCCTCCTTTCCTCCTCTTCCTGCCCCTTCAATGTAATATCTCCATCAGCCGGCTTTCCAAGCTTCAGTTTTGCCAGGTAGTGTTGGAGGATCTGCTCCTTGTGCCGAACAACTCCCAGCTTTATCCAGGTACGTTCCCTCTAGGCTCTGCTCAGATACTACCTCCTCCCAGAAGCACCCCTGATGAGGAGAATCAGGAAGAAAACTCACCCCTCTGCCTCCCACCCGAGTGTTGTTGTCCCAATCTAGCGCCTGAGAAATGTAAGCAAAGAGCAATCACAGACGTCAGGAAGGTGTGTCTTGTCTCTGGTAGAACATGGAACGTCGACTGTCAGAGGTGGTCACTTTGACAGATGAGGAGTAGGCCATAGGCCCGGCAAGGGGCCTGGCTTTCCCAAGGTCCCCCCCACTGCTGTTGGTGGCACGTATCACCCAAACGAGTCACATGATTCTAAAACCTGCCCCTTCTACTACATTCTGTTGTCTTGGATGTGAGCTCCTGATCTTGTCCTCTTCTGAATTCCCAGAGCTCTTAGCATGGAAAAGCAGCTGGTACTGTTACTGACTTCTCTGTTCAATTTGCCAGACATTTAGCCCAGCCCCTATTTTGTGCAAAGCAATTTTCTCCCTGACAACCTGGGGTCAGATCCTGCCTCTAACACTTAAGCGTTTTGACCATGGACAGGTCTTTCATCTCCGTGAGGCTCAGTTTTCTCATCTGTATAAAATGAGCATAATAATATCCATAGTATTATAGACAACCCTGTTGTCAGGTTTTAATGAGATGATACACGTAAACGTGCATAGTCAAGCAAAACTAGTACCCTCATTGGCTGTGTCCAGAAAGTGTGTCTCAACGCTTACTAGCTGTGTGACCCTGGGCAAGTCACTTAACCCCATTGCCTGGCCAAGAGAGTGTGTCTCTTCTTTACCCCAAGTTCTCCTCTTCGTCAGGAGGTGCCCAGCGTGCTTCATCACTGTCCTCTGGAATCATGGCTGGTCATTGCCTTGATTGGAGCTCTTACAGCTTGCAAAGTTGCTAATTTCTAGTGATGTTACTGTACACATTTCTAGTAGCAAAAACCTGGAAATGAAGGGAGGTGCCTATCATCTAGGGAATGGCTGGACAAGTTACTGTGCAGAAAGTACTGTACAAACCCCCCATAAACACAAGCTTTTCTTACTCTCCTCATCTATTCAGATCTAATCTCTCTCCTAATGGTCTTTCCTTTCTGTCTAATCTGATCCTGCCTTCCCTCACCTCTTTAGCCTCTTCTTTCTCATCCCTTCTTTTCCACTCTTCTCTAGTCTTTTCCCTGATCTCCTCTTTCTGTTGTAATAGCCTAGTATCCTTGATTCTAACCTCCCCTCCCCTCTAGAGTTGCCAGAATAGTCTTCCTAACAGAGCTCTAATCGCCTCACTGTCCTCTGCCCGCATATAACAGAAACTGCTCTTTGGTTTCGCTCCCTCCTCAGTCTAGCTCCAGTCTGCCTTCCGCATCTTTTTTCACAGTCCTTCCCTCCAGGCAAACTCTTCCGTGCTGTTCCATTGCTCATTCCCCACCTTCGCCTCCTTCCCCAAGCTTGACTTTCCATGGTTCAGCTCTTATCTCCGTGCCTTTGCCAAGAATGTCTTTCTCCTCTCTGCCTCTCATAATATCCCCACCTTCTTTCAAGGCACAGCTTAGATGCACCTCTGGTGTACCCAACCATTACTCCTCCTCCTCCACTAATTGTCTCTCCTTCCTCAATTCTTTTATCTTTACCTATCTGGTTCTATGTTATATTTCCTAGAATGTAAGTTTTGTGAGGGCAGGGAGTATCTTTGTATCTCCAAGCAGTACACAGTGCTTTGCACAGGTTTTTGGTCTAAGCCTGAGCCTTGCACGTAGTAGGTGCTTAATAAATGTTAATTTGATTGGGTTGAGTCATGGAAATAGCTCCTGAATTTCCTGTATCCTCCAGCTCAGTAGGGAGAGATCTGGGGATTTCAAGCCTAGGGCTCAGGAAGGAGAAGGCAGGGCCAGTCCCTTTTCTCAGGCCTTTTTCCTTCCCAGCTTTGTTTTCTTTCTTTAAAAAAATTTTTTTAAAGTTTTCAGTCAGCAAAAATCAGCCTTCTCATTCTTCTACCTGTACCACTGCTCCCCATCCACGAGAGCAAAAGAAAAATAAAGCCCATTACAAACATTTATAGTCAAGTAAAACAAATTTTGGCATTGCCTACATCCAAAAATGCATATGTCTCATTCGGCACACAGCCCTTCACCTCCATGTTAGGAAGTGGAAGGCATGTTTCATTATCAATCGTCTGGAACTGTGATTGATCACTACAGTGATCAGAGTTCTTAAGGCTTTCAAAGTTGTTTGTCTTTGTGTGAATTGCCCTGGTTCTGCTCATTTCCCTTCCGTGTCAGTTCATTCCGTCTTCCCAAGTTTCTCTGAAACAACTCCCTTTATCACCTCTTGGTGGCCCAGTGGATAAAGCACTGGGCCTGGAATCGGGTAGACCTGAGTTCAGGTCTGGCCTCAGACACCTAGTAGTGGGGTGACCCTGGACAAGTCACTTAACCTCTGTTTGCCTCAGTTTCTTCATCTATAACATGGGGATAATAATAGCACCTAGCTCCTAGGGTTGTGAGGATCAACAGAGATGATACTGTAAATTCTGATAATATTTGTAAAGGGCACTTAGCACAGTGCCTGGCACTTTGTAGTTGTTACTAGAAATGCTTATTCCCTTCACCTTCCCTCCCCTATTTCTTATAGCTTTACATCTTATTATTTAGTATTATATCACACGTATCTTGTTTGGCCGTTCTGCAGTTTATGGGCAACTCCTGGGATTCCCATTTTTACTGCCTCAAACAGAGCTATAAATATATTTGTTGTATATTCTTAGTTTGTTTTGTTAAGGGCCAATCCCTCCCGTGCTCTACCCTCTCTTTAATTCCCCGTTTCCCTCCGATTTCTGTGTTGACTGGGATGTATTTCTGTACCAGCTCTGCCTTCCCAGGACATTGCCCTTGCCCAAGAGAAGAGAGAATGGCCCCTGTGCTCCTGACAGCCCATGTCCCTCAGGTGAGTGGGGCTTTCTTCCTTCTCGAGTGACGTCATTGTTCCCAGAGTGTGGAAGCTTTTTTCCCTTCCTAATCCTGGGCGATTCTGGATGTAGAATCCAAATAGTTGGAGCCGTCCTTGGATTGTATGTTTAGAGCCGGGGGGAAGCATGGTGGTCATCTCTTGGAGGGGAAGGGACTCAGCACAGAGGCCGCACAGTTTGGGACCCACGTCCTCTTTCTGCTGGGCTACCCTGCTTCCCTAGGGGTGCACTCTGTAGGGATAGTGCCCCGGCCAGTGTCTTCTTCATCCCACATCCTCACTCGTCAGTGCCCTCGTCTGCTCCGTGCTTAGTACTGGGCAGGTCACAAAAGAATCCCAACGATGATAAGAGCGGACAGTCACAGCCTGCTCTTGAGATTTACCAGGCACTGTCTTCACAAAATGTGGGTAGATCAAGTGATAAGGATGGGGGAAACTGAGGTTCAGAGAAGGGACGTAGCTTGTTCTTGCTGATAGTAGTTGATTAACAAGCATTTATTAAAAGCCTGTGCTAAGCACCAGGGATACAAAGAAAAAGACAAAAGACAGTCCCTGCTCACAAAGGAGCTCCTGGTCTAATGGGCGGACAACGTGCAAACATCTCTAGAGACAGCTAGCGTCGGAAAGCCGTTGGCATTAAGGGGCACCTTTCTTGGCTTCTTGCTGAAGGAGAGATTTGAGCTGGGGTTTGAAGGAAGCTCCGGAAGGGAAGAGAGGAGGTGGGTCTTATGGAGGCATGGGGTCAGTCCGCCAGTGAAAATGCCTGGGGTCTGGAGAAGGAGGCGAGGGTCAGTGAATGGCTGAATAATCACTGGGGAACCAGCATTCCAAGGGGTCAGAGGCACGGTAGGATCGCCATCTCCACCATGTCCTTTTGGTAGAATAGTTCATCAGCTTTGGGATTTTCCCCAGCCCTGCCTCCCTCTGGGGTCTCTGGTACTCCTCTGGGCACTTCTTCCTTGGTGCTGTGCCCCTTACTTCCCCTGGGCTCCCAGCATGCACTGCTCTGGGGGGGCAGTTTTCCATCACCTTCGTCCTGGCGACACTAAACACCAGTCCCCACTTGGCCGGTCAGATAGCCTTATGGGAAGAGCGTACTTAAGAAAGAAGGGGGTGAGGGCAGGCCTTCCTGTCAGGCAGGCCACCGCAGGTCAGCACCCCTGTGCAGCTGCCACAGGCCTCACGTGAAAGCTTCAGGTCAGCAGTGGACCACCACACCTTTACGTTCCTAGCAACACAAGAAAGCTTGCTGCTGTTTGCCCCGGGAGGAGCACGACATCGGGAAGAAGATGCCATGATATGCAAGTGAGGTGAAGTGAGGGAGGGCCGGGCAAAGGCACCAGCCTCACTGTCACCTCCGAAGCCATCTGGAGCCAGTGGCCAGATGTAGATCAGGATGACCGGAGATGGCCCAGGATGCAGTGGGGATCCTTGGCCTTTTCAAGCTAAGGTCTTTAACAAGTCTCAGTTTGAATGAGGCGGCACCATTCAGTGATTAAGGCTTGATAAGAAATGAGGCAGAGGCTGGCCTCTTTAAAAAATATATATATGTATGTATTAGAGGGGCAGCCCTGGAGTCAGGAGGACCTGAGTTCAAATGTGACCTCAGACACTTGACACTTACTAGCTATATGACCCTGGGCAAGTCACTTAACCCCAGTTGCCTTAAAAAAAAAAATTAGATCTGGGAGGTAAAGACCTCAGGGTTTCTGGTCCAAACACAAATAATTGCTGTTTACAGTCATTCTGAGCAGATCAGGGCCCAAACCTTGACCATACTTGGGCTTGGTCTGGAGCCTGTTATTGGCCCATCAATGACAACCAGAGTGATTTGGGGTTGAGGCTGGTCTTTGAGAGACAAGGAAAAAAAAAACCCCAGATTAAAAATTTACATTCCCTTTGGGCAAATACCGGCAGGAAAGGACGTCATACCATATGTGGACAGAGGGAAAGGCAGGCAGGCAGGCAGGCCGGCCACATTGCCCAACTGGCCAGTTCCAGTTTGGTCTCCAGTGGGCAGGTCCGTTTCTGCTCACAGAGGCTGCTGTTTGTCCTTCATTCTCAAAGAGAACAAACAAAAAAAAAAAATTAAAAAAAGAGCCTTTTTCCAGAAGTCTTCTTGTCAGCCCAGCACTGCCCAGTGCAGATGAGATAGCAAATAAACTTTGTTGTCAGGCAATGGAAAGGACACTGGGTTCAGGTCACCACTGTCACCTGTCCAGAACTCCATTTCCTCAGATGGGGGGCCAGGCTTCTTAACCCGGACACAGATTTGGGGGGATCTGAACTTGGATGGGCAAATATTTTTGATAACTGTATTTCAGTATGATTAGTTTCCTTGTAGCCCTGTATATAGTATATATGCACATGACATAGGCATTATTCTGAGAAGAGTTCTCCACACTTCTTTGGCACCGTAAAGGTAGAGAACTGCTGGCCTGGACGATCCCCAGGGTTCCACTCAGCTGAGTCTAAGGTCCGGTGATCGAGTGACATGTCCCAGGTCATAAAGCTAATGAGGCCGGATTCAAATCCAGATCTTCCTGAACCCAAGACCTCTCTTGCCCTCCAGGACGCCACGCTGCTTCTGCACCAGTGGGCCACCTCCTCCATGGGCTCCATTAGCTGCTCAGGATGGGGCCTGTAGGGATGGTTCTCCTCCTGGCTTTGTCCCGTGGTGCTTTCGGCTGAGCTCTTGCGGTATTGTGGGTCTCGTCTGATGCAGTCCGCACTATGCCATCTCCTAGCAGGGGCATTTGGAAGACATTCTTAGAGTGTCTCTTCCATTTTCACCCTGGTCTAGGGTGGTGGCAGACACCACTGGCAAACGTGTGTTTTCTTCTAGAGGCAGCTAGCTTGTATGGAGGATGCAGCACTGGGCCTGGGGTCAGGAAAGCCCGAGTTCAAATCTAGCCTCAGATACTTATTAGCTGTTTGACCCTGAAGTCACTTAGCCTCTGTCTGCCTCAGTTTTCTCATCTATAAAATGGGGATAAAAATAGCACCTGTCTCCCAGGGTCCTGGTGAAGATCAAATGAGATGATAATTGTGAGGCCCTTAGCATGTAGTAAGCACTATATAAATGCTGGCTGTTATCATCGTCATCATCATTCTTAATCATAGGCTTATAGAACAATGTTGTCTGTTTAACTTTTTAAGGAATTTGATATGGGGTAGAAATAGCGACTAGCAATAAGCTTCAGTTATTTATGGAGTTCAAGGGCTCCTCTGTTTCATGTTTGCTGCTCTAACCTGTACGCTTTCATATTGAAGTGCATTGATCCAGAACGTCTGGTTAGGGTCTGCTTCAGTAAACAGTTTATTAAATGGGGGGATTTGGGGAAAGAAGTAAAGGGGGCCTGGGCTGGGTATCTGGACATAGCCAGCAGCCTCAGGAGAAAGCAGTGAACTAAGGCAGATAACGGTAAAGTTTTGCTTTGCTTTGCTTCCTAATCCTAGGGGATTCTGGATCTAGAATCCGAAGAATTGGAGCTGGCCTCAGGTGAACTGACTTGCCCGAGGTCCCACAGCTAGGAGGTGTCTGAGGCTGCATTTGAACTCGGGGCTTCCTGACGCCAGGCCGGCATGCTGTGCCCTGTGCCACCTTGCCTCCCCTGTGGCCAGGAGTTCAGGGCTTCTAATCATTTCGTATCACCTGCGCCTCAGCCCTTGATTCCCGGTTGCCCCTGTGGCATCCTGCGAGCCTTCAGAGTGACAGAGTTGGCCTCTCAGGGTCACAGAGAGATTGAGGCCTTTAGCTGGGCTCTCACACTGTACTGCCCGCCTCAGCCCAGCACGGCATAGAGAGGCGGGTTGCGCAGGTTTATGAAATTACTGTTCCAAATTAATGTTTGCTGATCTTTTATAATCCTCTGTTCCACGCACCACGATCCCAGCTTTCCAGATTTTCCCTTTCCTGAGGGCTTTTTTCACAGCCACCATCTTTGTTAAAAGAGTTGCCCTCGACTCTTGTCCCTTTTCCTATGGGTGAGGACCATCTTGCCATCAGGGTGTCATGCAGAGCCTTGGATACTTCGCCCATTTGGGGCGATCTCCCATCTCCAAACCTGTGTCCATGTATTCTTCACACAAATTGAATAAATATTCATTGTTCACAAGTGGGCCAAGCACATAAAATAAAATGACAATACCACCTAAATTTGTTTACTTATTCAGTGCCATACCAATCAAACTAACAACCAAAGAATTATTTTAGGGAGCTAGAAAAAAATTATAACAAAATTCATTTGGAGAAACAAAAGGTCAAGACCATCATGGGAATTAATGGGAAAAAATGTGAAGAAAAGGGGCCTAGCAGTATCAGATCTCAAACTATATTACCAATCAGTAATCGTCAAAATAATTTGGTACTGGATATGAAATAGAGTCATTGATCAGTGGACCCAATATACAAAAGCAAATGAGCACAGTAGCCTAATGTTTAATAAACCCGAAGATCCCAGCTATTGAGTCAAGAATTCACTATTTAGTGCTGGGAAAACTGGAAAGAAATCTGGCAGAAACTAGACATAGACCAATGTCTGACACTGTGTACCAAGATAAGCTCAAAATGGGTAAAGGATGATATAAGCAATTTAGGGGACCATGGAATAAATTACCTATCAGGTCTATAGATAGGGGAAGACTTTATGACCAAACAAAAGATAGAGAGGTAAATGGGAGGTAAGATGAATAATTTTGATTATATAAAATTAAAAAGTTTTTGCACAAACAAAACTAATGCAGCCAAAGTATGAAGAAAAGCAGGAAATTGGGGGGTGGGGGGAGAAATTTATAGGAAATTTCTTTGACGATGGTCTCATTTCTCAAATATACAAAGAACTCAACCTGTCAATCAACTAACATACCCTGGACCTTGAGGAACAGAAAGGCGTTTGAGGCATTTACTACAAAGACAGAAGTGAGTAGGACACCCGCACTTGCAAATACCGCAAAGAGGATAATCAGGAGAAGGACAAATAAGTCTAACAATCAAGAAAACTAAGTATTTAAAGGAGATCTCGGCTGTGGCTAATCAGATCAATAGGAGCTCAGAAGGCTCTACCACAGGTCCGGCAGAAGTTGTCCATCTGAATGTCTGGAGTGGAGATGTCTCTAAATGTGCTTGAGCTCTTGCGACTCTGCTTTGCTCACAGAACACAGTGCCTTCTTTGATGGGGGTCCCTGGGCTAGTGTCCCCCATGTCCGACGATCAATTCCAAAGTTCTCCAGAGAGACCCTGAAGGTGATCTTCAGAACCTCCCCAAGACAACTCACGTGGAAGTGATTCCGTTCCTGGCGTGCCACCAGTATACTGTCCAGGTTTATACAGGTGGCAAAAGAAGAGTCTCTGTTCAGGCTTTCGCCCAGATTAATGAGGCAAAACTCAGGAAAAAGAGAATTAGAAGGAGTTTACTCAAAAACAGGGCAAGGCGGCGACAGGCCGACTGGCCCATGGCTAGAGGTCAGCAAGGGGTTCAGGAGGATGACTTCCACAATGCCATAGACACAACTGGAAAGGTGCGCATCAGCACAGAGGGCCTGGGGCTGACAGATGGGTGGCGACCTGCCCCTGCTGGACAGAGGCGGCCTGCCTAGGCCCGACTCCGGGGCAGGCCTCCCTCGCAGGGGGATCAACAATGCATTGAAGGGATAAAGGCCTGATAATTCATCGCTCCTGGCATGGTTACCACGCTGTGCGAGGAGATGCCAACATAAGGTGGCGTCTTAAGAAACAGCCCCTGCCCTCTAGGGACTAGGAGAGACCGCCAGGCTTGGAGTCGGGAAGATGCGAGTTCAAATCCAGCCTCAGACTCCTGCTAGCTGTGTGACCCTGGACAAGGCACCTCACCCTGTTTGCCTCAGTTTCCCCCTCTGTAAAATGAGCTGGAGAAGGCAATGGCAAACCCCTCCAGTATCTCTGCCGAGAAAACCCCCAAAGGGGTCCCGGGGGCAGAGTGGATTCCCCGGAGTAGATCCCGGGCTTTCCTGTGGGCCACCAAGGTGGACATGACGTCACCTAGGCGTGGAGGAGGGGGTCCCCGCGCCCCCCCCTTCCTTCCGGGTGTCTGAAGCTGGGCGGGGGAGGGGCACAGAAGGGCGGTTTTGCCCTAGAAATGGAAGAGGGACACGAAAGAGCAATCCCACACGGGCTTCCGGAGCGGGGAGGGAGGCCCCCATAGCGTCTGTCTCGAGTGGCTTTCTTCGGCCGGGGACACGGCCAATGGGAGCGCCCGCGGCCTGGCCTTCGGGCCCCGCCCCCACTCCGGCTCTGTGCGGAGGAGGGGAGTGGCTCTTGGGCATGCGCAGAGGGTTGCTTCACCCCCCCATCCTCGTACCGCTTCTTCCGTCACTTCCTCCTCTGCGGATGACGTCACTTCCCATCCTGCCCCTTTCAATGCACAGCCTCAGCGGCTTCTGCCCCTGCTACCCGGGAGTTCGGGGCTTTCCTTCCGCCCTCATTCGCAGCCGAGGTGGAGCCCTGCGGGGTCACCGGGAGCCAGGCTCGGCCCGCACGCGGCCAGATTTCAGGGCACTGGGCCCTGCAGCTGGAGCGCCGGCTGGGCGGACATCTGCGCGTGCGCCGTCCTTTGAGTCGTTCCCCCATTGGTCAGGTCCTGGCGGGGGCGCGTTCTGAGAGCCAATCAACGGCGTAGATCAGGTCCGGGGCGGGCCGAGCAGCCCGGGGCCGCCGCTGCCCTTCTCGGGGAGCTTTTCCCAGGGTGGCTTGGGCGGGGGCGACCCCGGGCGCATCCGGGCCAGTGCCCCCTCCCAGAGCGATGCCGTCCTGAGGTGGGGGGCTGCGGGTGCGAGCGCTGCCCTTTGTCTCCCCAGATCCGCCGGACCTGGAGCAGCAGCGGGAGATGGTGGGCCCCGTGCACCCGGCAGCCCGGGCCCCCCAGGTGAGGGGCAGCCAGTGTCCGGCGGGGGAGGGCACTGGGGTCATGCACCTATGATGGTCTGGGAAACGGGACAGAGGTGGAAAAAGATTGACCACGATCATGCAGCCAAAGAGCATCCAGGGAAACTGAGGGCACGCGGGGCAAGGCGCCGCTAGAGGTGGGGTGTCGGGGGTCAGACAGAGTTCGGGCGGCAGAAGAAGCTTCCTCCAGGGATGGGTCCTGTGATTCTGCCAGGGACAGAAAGCGGTCCTCCAGTCCGGCCCTTCCTGCAGGTCTTGGTTCTTCCCTCGTGGGCTGCCACGCGTGACCATCGTGGCTCCCAAAGGCCTTTGCTCGGCTTCTCCGATTTGGCCAGAATGAGGTGCTGGGCTGGTCAGGGTGGAATGAGCGAGGGTGTAGGAGGTGCTGGACAGTGGAGGCAAGTGTAGACACAGTAGAGACTGCGGCCCTGGGAACCAAGAGGCTGTCCTGCCCAGAAGATGGAGGACGTCTGAGGGACCACGTGCCATCCAAACGCTGCACTCCTACGTGGTTCCTTCCGGGGGGCTCTGAAGGTCTTCAGTTTGTCGGGGGACCCCCATCCCATCCCGAGGCAGCTCCTGCAGCAGCTCGCCCCCTCTGTCATCCCCACTCTCTCTTAATCTCCCCCTTTCTACTGGCTCCTTTCCTACTGCCTGCAAACATGCCCATGTCTCCCCCACCTGAAAAAAGCTCATTTGTCCTTCCATCCCTCACATCCTATGTCTCTTCTGCCCTTTGTAGGTAAACCCTTGGAAAAGGCTCTCTGTAACAGGTGCCTCCACTTTCTCTCCCCTCCCTCTCTTCTTGACCCCTTACAATGTGCCTTCTGATCTTATCATTCCACTGAAACTGCTCTCTCCAAAGGGGCCAGCGATCTCCTAGTTACCAGATCCAATGGCCTTTTCTCAGTGCTCATGCTGCTGCTGATCACTCTCTCCTCCTCGATACTGTCTAGGTCTTGTGGTTCTGCTCCTTCTTCGCTTCCTTTGCTGTATCCTTATCCAGATCACACGTTAACCATAGATGTCCCTTAGGATTTTGTCCCAGGCCCTTTTCCCTGACAGTCTTCATAACATCATTCATTTATGCCCCCTTCTCTCCTATGACACGATCACCTCCTGCCTGGACAATAGTGCACTGCTGGGTCTTTCTGCCTCACAGTCTATTCTCCATTCGGCCCCCAAAGTGATTTTCCTAAAATGCAGATGTGATCATGTCACCTCCCTACTCAGTGACTTCCTGTTGCCTCCAGGAGCAAATCCAGAATGCTCTGTTTGGCTTAGCTTCCTAACTGAGGCCCCTCCTACCTTCCCAGTCTTACACCTCATTCCCCAACACAGACCCTTCAGTCCAGTAACACTGGCCTCCTGGCTATTGAGATACTCCATCTCTGGCTGTCCCCCATGCCTGGAACATTTCCCTCCTCCGCTCTGACTACTGACCTCCCTGGCTTTCTTTAAGTCTCACCTAAAATCCTGTGCCTTCTATCTGTTATTTCCCATTTATCTTGTATGTAGCTTACTTTGTATATATGTATGTTTTCTCAGCCATTAGATTGTAAGCTCCTTCCTCAGAGGGCAGGGACTGTCTTTTGGGCCTTTTTTTTTTTGTATCCCCAGGTCATAGCACAGTGCTTGGCACATAGTAGGTGCTTAATAAATGTTTACTAATTCGTTGTTGATTGACTAATTATAGTTGGATATGGATAAGAGTCACCTAGGCTGGGCAGCCAGGGATGGGTGGTGATTTGCATGGCTAAAAGGAATGCCCACCTTGGTTAGCTCATAGAGCCTTTGGAGCACGTTGAGGATTGTTGTTTGGGTCCATGACTGAAAAATGAATATAAACTGAGGCACCCAGGAGGTGTGAGGTATGCTCCTGACACTTTCTGCCAAGTTCACCTCTCTCCTCCCAGGTGAATAGGAGGGACGGTCCCTGGGGAAGCCCAAATGTATGTGCTGTTTTAGGAATCAGTAACATTCAAGGATGTGGCTGTGGACTTCTCCTGGGAGGAATGGGGGCATCTGGAACCTTCTCAGAAGGAGCTTTACCGGGAGGTGATGCTGGAGAACTACAGGAACCTGGTCTGCCTGGGTAAGGATGGCTCCCCCTGGGATCCAGAATCTGGCCTCTGGAGGGGCTTTGCTTCCTCCCTTGGTCACTTGTTTGACATACCTGCTTTCCTAACCATTTGTGGGAATGAGGCCAGATACTTGTGCTACCTTCCTCAGCTAAAACAGCGCTTTCTTTATATACCTGGAAGCTGCCAGCTTGCTCATGTTGCCTTTGAAGTTGTACCCTTCCCACTCTCTCCTCAAGCCCTAGGGCACATACCCAAAGATAGGAGAAGGCTCCATCTTCTGGCCAGGGATTGGGTCTGGTGACATAATTTTCTTTCCAAGTTCAGATCCCCTCTACAAACTTTTTCCTCTTCCCTCTTAGGAACACAGGAGAGACTGGCCCCAGAGCTCTTTATAGAATCCTCTGAGTGGTACTACTATTCCCGCTGTTCCTAGAGTGAAGTGAGGTTAGTCCGGCATGCCAAGCAGACTTTCTGACTCCAGTGCTTTGCTGTTTCCAATGAGTAGGGCTTGCCATTTCCAAACCAGATGTGATCTTCCAGTTGGAGCAAGGAGAAGCACCTTGGATGCCAGAGGGAGAAGGCCCAAAATGCAGGTGTGCAGGTGAGTGAGTGAAACCCGGCAGATGAACATGGCCAGTGACAGCTCCACTGGTCTTTCGGACATCTAGATTGTCAAGGGAAGTAAATGAATAAAGGTAGGAATGAAGGAGGAGTAGCACTTCCAGACTTCAAACTATATCATAAAGTAGTGGCTGTCAAAGCCTTTTGGTGTCAGCTAAAAAATAGAGAAGTACATCAATGGAACATACTAGAGTCGGAGGCGAGGAGGGTTGGGGACTCAATAACCCAGTGTTCAATAAACTCCAAACCACAGCTTATTTAGGAAAGAACTGCATATTTGATAAGAATTACTGGGTAAACTGGAAAGCAGTCCGGTAGAAATTATGCTTAGACCAACATCTTATACCATATTTTACAGTAAGTTTCAAATGGACACAAACCTGAATATTAAAGATCATATCATAAAGTGTTAGAAGACAAGCAGATCATATACCTCTGACAGGTATGGGTTGGAGATCTATTTTTAAGCAAATAAGGGATGGAGGTAGCTATAAAAAGTAAAGTAGATCATTTTGATGACATTAAATTGAAAAGCTTCTGCATAGACAAAATTAGTGCACCTGTGACGAGAGAAATGGTTAAATGAGAACAGTGGTCTTTGTATCAAAATTCTCTGATAAGGGTTTGATATGTAAGATACATAAATGATTAACAGACATATCTATGTATCTATCTACCTATATAGTATTAAATATATATAAAAGACCAAAAGCCATTCCCTGATAGATAAGTAGACAAAGAATATGAATAAATCTCAGTGAAAAGAATTGCAAACTATTAACATGAACAAGGCTCCAAAATCACTTAAAATATGAGAAATGTTAATAAACATATGATTAATATTACTGTAATTGATGTAAGCAATATAATAACATAATATGTAATATATGTAATTAATATAACAATAAAAGCATGAAAATTCAGGTTTTATCTCCCATCAAGCAAATTGGCAAAGAAGACAAAAGATTGGAAGTCAGTTTTGGAGGAATTGTGGGAAGATAGGCACACTGTTACATTGTTTGTGGATCTGTGAACAACCGTTTTTGCAATTTGTAATTATTCAGACAAAATAACTAAAAAGTCCATAACCTTTGACCTCAGTAGTTTCCATTACTGGCCTTATGCTCCAAGGAGGCCATTGATAAGAAAGTCCCAATATTCACTAGAATCTTTAGAGCAGTACCCCTTTTTTTTTTTTACCCCGGTATTAAAGAACTGGAAACAAAGGAGATGCCCACTGATTAGGGAATAGCAAAACAAGTCATAGTATATCAGTATATGGGAATATTACTGTGCTGAAAGAAATATGATGAATACAGTAAAACATGGAGTGACACATATGAACTGATACAAAGCAAAGCCAAGAACAGAATATCTGCAGTGAGTACAAAAAAATGAAAAATTGGAAAAAAAGTAATAACAAAAACTGAAAATGAATGTGGCAAAATGGTTACCATGAACCTCTGATCCAAGAAAGAAAGATAAGAGGACCCTGCCTCCACTCATTCTTCTGCGTAGGTGGGAGGTCTGTGCCATACATTTTCAGAATTTTTTGATATATTGATCAACTTTACTAATTATTTTTTTTCCTCTTTTTCTTTTTTCCTTAAACAAATTCTTTGTTGTATGGGATGGCTCTCCAGTAAGAGAAAAGGATACAAGGGGAAATACAGGTGATGCAAAAAGAAAGGATATTAATCAAAATGTATTCTTTAAAAGATGAAGGTAGGGCCCAGGTTGTGTAGGTACTACACGAGACAACAGAGTGCTCTTGGAGACTATTCACGGGTGGTAAAGTGACATGATTGGGCACGCCTCTTAGGAAAACCCCTTTGGCAGCTCCAGGGGGGTGACTGGTGAAGCCCACCCAGAAGATATTCTACGGGAGCCCAGCACTCAGTCTCCAGGCATTAGAAACCCCCAGAGGCACAGGTCCTTTTATCTCTTTGCTGTTCTGAGGCTCAGGCTCTTTGATCAGAGGGGTCCTCTTTTGGACGCAGAGGTCCAAATGATTCAGGAATGAAGGACGTTATATAGTTAACCTTGTGAAAACTAAAGGGAGGAAAGGGAGGTCAGAGCAGTGGTGATGTTCTGAGAAAAGATAATTGAGTAGGTGGCCAATTGATATGGTATGGACTTGAATAGGTTTAGGGTGAAGTGAGTTAGCCAGAAAGATGAAAAGATAGGATATCACGATCAGAGAGGGACATTGCAGAGGTAGAAGCAGGGATACAGAATTGAGCTCAGAAGCAACATCTCACTGCCTCTACCCCTAATTCCTGATTGAGTTAATGTTCTATTCTGCTTCCACTACACCTCTCTGTTAGCAGTGCTCTTAGGGAATGGGTAGGGAAAAAAGGGGTGACATCCAGGTGAAGGAGGAACTATAATAAAGGTCATGGAGTTGAAAATGGGCATGGTTTGTGGAGGGTGAGGCACTAAGACCACCTGTTGGATGTGAACTGAGGGTACTTTGGAGGGGAGCAGTGAAACGTTCAGTCTTTTCAGTTGCATCCAACTCTTTGTGACCCCTTTTTGGGGGGTTTTCTTGGCGGAGATACTGGAGGGGTTTGCCATTTCCTTTTCCAGCTTTCATAGCTGAGGAAACTGAGGTAAACAGGGTTAAGTGACTTGCCTAAGGTCACACAGCTACTAAATGTCTGAAGCCAGAGTTGAACTCATGAAGATGAGCTTTCCTAATTCCAAGCCTAGTGCTCTATCCACTGTGTCACTTGGTTGTCCATAGTGGTGGAATATCAAGGTGGATAGGTAGGGTAGGGTCCTAGCACTGAAGCCTTTGAAAATTTTTGAATTTGTTGTGTAGATAAGGCCTGGAAGCTGGATTGTGAGATGACTAGGACAGTGAGAAAGGAAGCTTTGTCCTGCAGCTCTTCGGTGGGTGAATTGGAATGGGGTGGAGGTGGGAAAACAAACCAAGAGCCTCTTTAATTAATTTGATCCTATTGCTATATATCAGGTGTAGATAATAAGGGTCCAGATTCTGATTCCAGACTGTTTACTAATCCTTTTTCAGAATCTGATATTTCCCTATATTCTTGGCCCTTTCCTTTATCCCAAAGCTTCCTAAACTTTCTTGGTTCATGGTGGCCTTAGTATCAGTAATTTTTTTGCCAGCACCCCTAGACCAAAACCAAAAGAAATACCATTTATTAAGTGGTTAGGTCCAGAGAACTTAATAAGTATTAATGTCCTAACAACTTAGTAGCGGTTTGAAAAAGAAAAGAGGCACAAATTGAAAGAAAAAATATTTTTATTTCATTCTTAAATACCTAAATTACTTACTAATGAGCTATGTGCACCTGTTGGGCACTGCGCAACTTCTCAGATTTTGAAATCTCTACCACCCTCATTTCCTGTTCCACACTGGTCTTCATTCATTACTTCCTTTTGATCACAGCAGCCACTGAAAAGCAGCTTCAAAAAGATAGGGTTTTGGGAATGGAATTAATATTTGATGAGCTGCAGCACTTAGCAGAAATTAGGAGACCCAAGTTTGACTCCTCCCAGTGCTCTTAACTAGTTGAGAGACATTGGGGTAATCAATAAATCACCAAATCACTTAGATAAATCATTTCATTTAGAAAATGAGGCAGCTGACCAGCGTTCTTACAAGACTATTTTGAGACCATTGAGAAAGCCTTTTGAAAATTGTGAATAACCATACAAACATATGGTAATAGTCCGATTTGGTCTACCTTTTGGAGTTTTATCACGATTGCTTTTGGAGAAGGTGCAGATAACAAGATTTAAGCATATGGGTACAGAGGATATTGACATGTTTTACTTCTTTCAGACTGGAAGCCTAGGCCAAAGCTGGGCATTTCTATGGATCTGTCATCCCTGGAAATAATCCCAAGGGAAGGCACCTGTCACTCCAAGTTGGGAGATGCTTATGAATGGAATGCCAGGCTAAAGAGGAAGCAAAGCAAGGAAGAGAAGCATTTTCAGCAAGTCAAAATCATCCAGAGGAGCTCTCTGAAAACCGTGAAGGACAATGAATGGAATGAATGTGGCAGGAGGTTCAGTCTAGGGCCAGGCCATTCTCTCTGCCAGGGAGACCAAACAGGAACAAGGCTCTGCAAGTATGGTACCGACAAAAAGAGCCACTCACTCAATTCAGACCTAAGTAGAAGCAGTGAATTCAACTCAAAGAAGATGCTTGCCAAGCATAATGAACGTGACAATTCCTTCAGCCATAATGCCAACTTTACGGACTGTCAAAGAAATTGGACTGGAGAGAAACTTTGTGGATGTGGTGAATGTGAGAAAGCCAGATGCACTAACTTGTGCATTGCTTCATATCATAGAATTCCTTCTGGAGAGGAACCAGATAAATTTGGTGATTGTGGGGAGACCTTCTCCCCGAGCCCACAACTTCTTGAACATCAGGTAATGCCTCCTGAGGAGAAAGCATATGAGTGCAATGAATGTGGGAAGACCTTTAGATACAGTTCGTCTCTTACTTCTCATCACAGGATTCATACTGGAGAGAAACCCTATGAATGTAATGAATGTGGAAAGGCCTTCAGACACTGCTCATCCCTTACTTTCCACCTCAGGATTCATACTGGAGAAAAACCTTATGAATGTAATGAATGTGGAAAGGCCTTTGGCCAAAGCATACAACTTCTTGGACATCAGAGAATTCATACTGGAGAGAAGCCTTATGAATGTAATGAATGTGGGAAGACCTTTAGACACAGTTCATCTCTTATTTCCCATCACAGAGTTCATACTGGAGAGAAACCTTATGAATGTAATGAATGTGGGAAAACCTTCAAACACAGCTCTTCTCTTACCTACCATCACAGAATTCACACTGGAGAGAAATCATATGAATGTAATGAATGTGGAAAGGCCTTTCGGGAGAGTTCAAAACTGACTCGACATCAGCGAATTCATACTGGAGAGAAACCTTATGAATGTAACGAATGTAGGAAGGCCTTTAGTCGGAGAACACAACTTACTCGACATCGGAGAATTCATAGTGGAGACAGACCTTATGAATGTAAACAATGTGGGAAAGCCTTTTGTCAGAAGACCCAGCTTACTAAACATCAACGAATTCATACAGGAGAGAAGCCATATGAGTGTCATGAATGTGGCAAGGCCTTTCGCCAAAGATCACATCTCACTTGCCATCAGAAACTTCATATTGGAGTAAAACTTTATGAATATAATGAAAATCAAAAGGAATTTAGTCATATACCTTGCTGAGTAATCTAGAATGCATATTAAAAAGAAACTGTAGATGAAGCAAATTCTTCTTTAAATTCCAACACCTATTCCAAACCTTTTCTTCTCTAGTATCTGGACAACTCTCATCCAATGCCAAGACTTACTGCAGCTGAATTTCCTCATTTTCTCAGTGGGTATATTTCTGGTAGGAGCTCACACCCTCAATTTAATTCTTTAGAAAATTTCGGTATCACCGCTGCTTTCTTTTCTAGTCTTTTTGTATTCCCAGTACTTAGTATACTGCCTGGTACATAGTAGGCACTTAATAAATGTTTACTGATTGACTGGCTGGCTGTCTAGTCACAAAGGAAGAGTATCCATATTCCTTTGTAAAGCTAATTCCTCTTTCTGCGTCCTTGATGCTAACTTTTCCATCTGTTCAAGAACCTTATTCACATTTCTTAAATCCAGGACCTAGAGTCTAGAAAACCTGAGTCCAAATTCCACTCCTGGACATCTAAGTTATGTGACTATGGGAAAGTTTCCTCATTGGTAAAATGGGATTAATAACACTTACAAATGCATGGGCTGCCTACGAGGATAAATTAAGGTATAATATATGTAAAAGTAATTTGCAAACTTTAATGTGTTATGTGTCAACAGTTATTAGTAATATTATTCAATCCTTCTTTACTAGAGCCTTCATGGCTGCTTAAACCATGTGCATGTGTCCCCAATCATAAGTCATCTTTTCAGTCTTTGACATACCCAGTTGCCACTTCATGTCTTTTCTCTCCTTTTCAGCTAAATTTCTTGAAAAAGCTTTCTATATGTATTGCTACATTTTCCTTACTAACCTCTATTTCAGTGCATTCCATTGATTGGTCATCCTCTTGACCAGTCATGCTCTCTAAAAAGTCTACAGCCACTTCCTAATTAGCATACTACTACTTTTATCCCCTGAATTTATGGACACAATTGAACCCCCTTCAGACCCTTTCTGGATATCCCCTTTTCCCTTGTCTTCAGAGTCACCAAGTTTTGACTGTCATAAGACTCCGTTGACAATTTCTCTGTCTTCTTGCCCTTGGACTTACTTTCTTGTCTCTTTGTGTTCTTGGGAATCTAACTTATTTACGATGCTTCATGTGTCACTTCCAAGTGGTCCTGACCTTACGCCACCATTTTCACCTGCCTATTGTAACCTGATTCCCCTATTTATGGCTATGTTAGCCCCCTGTTTCTCATGTTCTAAACCTTAGTGTTTTGTTTTTCTTTAACCCTTCTATATCTCTCACCTATTCCCGGTTACTAAGGTCTACTGAATATATCTTACCTCATTACCCTCCTTTTTTAGACCGATAGCCATCCTAATGCAAGTGTTTGTGATCATATCTCTGGACCATTGCAGTGGTGACATTCTTTGTCTTCCTTCCTCTCCCTTATCCCTTTAATCCCCCCACAACATTAAACAGACTAATCTTCTTTAAGATCTAATTGTGACTAATTTGCTCAAATCTTTCAGTCTTTCCCAAATATCTGCAGACTAATTTCCAAACTCCTTTGACTAATATTTAAGTTCCTCCCTAATCAAATGCCAGTTTCTGACTCCCCAGTCTTCATGATACTGCTTTCTGGATAATCTATGGTCCAACCAACCTGGACTATTTGCTGTCTCATTAATATACCCTGTGCCTTCCTGCCTTTCCTTAGGATATGCTCTGTGCCTGGAAAACCCTTATTCCTAACTCCTACTGGTTTTGTATGAAACCTTTAAAACCAAACTTAAATGCCACCACTATCTTAACTCTTCCCTGAACACCCAGGGCACCTATGTACTTCTGTATAATTTGGAGGCTTTTTGTTCATTGTTTTACTAGTCAAGTCAATAAGCATTTATTATGTGCCAGGTACTGTGCTAAATGCTGTCAGCATAATTAAAAAAAAAATAGAATACTTCTTTCATCACATCTCCCAATGAATGAATGTCTAATGTTAGTTTTATTGGTGCCTTTTTTTTAATACCATGTTTTCTGACATATACATTATTTTATACTCTAGTTGACTGTCTATATTTCATCTCTACCTGCTGGACTCTTAAGGCAGGGATTAAGTATTATTAAAGCCTGCTGCTTCTCCCATCAACAGTGCTAGGAATTTAGATGATATGATTGCGTTCGAATGACTAGATAAAATTCCTGGAATTCTAAAATCTCAGAATTGGAAGGGACTTCAAGGCCATCTAGTCCAGTTTAGACCTGAATTAGTATCCCACCACAGTGGCCTTGACACAGGCTGTAACTCACTACTTCTCAAGGTAACCCATTCTACCAATTATTAGAAAGTTTTTCCTTCATCAGATTGCATCTGCCTCTTTGAGGTGTTCACCCACTGTTCTTGGCACCAAATAGATCCAGCTTATTTCCTCGCCTGCATGACAGCCCTCCAAGTACTTGAAGCCATACTATCATGCTTCTGCACTCTCTCACACCCAATTCTTCTGTCCTGAACATCCACAGTTCTTTCAGCCAATCATTATGCTATATGCTCACAGCCCTTGTCTGGAGGCTCCTGAGCTTATTAATGTCCTTTCAAAGACGTAGTACCCAGAATTGAACACTACAGACTGCTCTAGACTGGTCTGATCAGGACAGGGGACAACAGGACTATTACATCCCCATGCCTTAGAGTTCTGTTTCTCTTAATCTAAGAGATTTTAGCATTTTTAGCTGCCAGATCTGTTGCCACACTGAGCTTACAGTCCTTACAGATCTTAAAAGTTCTATTCAAAGCAATGCCCATCTAGCCATGCCCCTCCCCCCATCTTGTACTTGTGAAGTTGACATTTTGAAACCAAGTATAAGAACTTACATTCATCCCCATTAAACTTCATCTTTATAGATTTGGCACAAGAAGTCTACCAAGATCTTTTGGAGACACTTACTAGCTGTGTGACCCTGGGCAAGTCACTTAACTCCAATGGCCTGAAAAAAAAAACATCTTTTGGAGTCAAGATTTGGTAGTCCAGTGTGTTGGCTATCCCTTCCAGCTTGTCATTTGCACGTTTGATAATCATGTGTCTGTACTTTATCTAATGCATTGCTAAAATAGTTAAACAGCACAAGATTGAGCCCAGATGTCTGAGCTGCTCCTCCAGAAACTTTTGAAGCCGACATTTAAATTAATGACTGTTCTTGACCTGACCATTCAGTCTGTTCCAAACCCACCTACTTGTGTGACCACCTAGCCCCCCACGTCACTCCATCTTTCCCACCATGACAGCATGCTTTACTAAAATCTAGGTGAATTCTATCTGCAATTTCCCCTTAGTCTACCCATCAAGCTATCGTTTCCAAAAGGAATGTGAGGTTAGCCTGGCAAGACCTGTTCTTGAAGCCAGGATAGTTATTCATATTCACTGCTTCCTTTTCTAGGTGTTTACTAACCACTCTTTAAACAAAGTTTTTCAGAATTTTACTTGGAGGGACATTATGGTGAAGTAGAAAGGGTGCCAACCCCAGAGTCACAAGACCTGAGTTTTAATTATGACTTTGCCATCTAACTGTGCGACCTTTGACAAGTCATGGTTTCAGCAGGTCTCAAGTTTCATCATGTATAACATGAGAAGGTTGAAGTTGGTGATTTCCAGAAGAGGAAACCTCTCCTGGATCATACTTCCTATTTCTCCACATCCTTTTAAAGTTCATTTCACCTATACATATTTCTAGCCATGCTAGCCAACGTGCCATTTCCCATATGTGACAGTGCTTTCCTGTCATGTCCTCTCACAGGCTTCTCCCTTGTACCCAACATATCCACCTTTTTCACCTCTGACTGTCTCCAAGGCTTGGCTTGTGCCCCCTTTCCAGAGGCTTTCTTGGTTTCTGGTGCCCTCCTCCTCATCACAACTCACATCCTAGATCTACTTATCTGCATATCCTCTGAGTAGATTGTAAACACTGTTAAGGCAGAGACTGCCAAATATTTCTATTTGTACATTAGGCATATGGACATGTAAAAGCTTTATCGATTCATTTATCACCAGCAATCCTGGACTATTGTCACAGAATGTCAGACACGAAAGGGATGGCAGCGGCCATTTAGACCAACTCATGAAAAACAGCTACTACAGTATACCTGACAGGTGGTCTTCCAGCCTTTGCTTGCATAAATCCAGTGGCAGGGTGACTCTGCTCCCTTCTGAGGGAGCCCATTCCATTTTTACATGGTTCTAACTTCTAGGAACTTTTTTTTTTTACAGCAAGCCAAAATTTGCTTTTTTCAGTTTCAGTCTTTTGCTTTAATTCTTTCCTTTGGGGACAAACAGAACACATAATTTCTTTGCCACGTCTCAGCCCTTTAGATGCTTGGTCACTAACATTTCTTCCTTCCCTCGTCTCCCCGAGGCATTGATTCTTAATAGCTTGCATTTTATACAGTGCTTTAAGATCTGCAAAGCCCTTGCCATTGATTATCTCATTTGATCCTCTCAACAACCCTATGAAGTGGGTGCTGTTATCTGTATTTCACCACTGAAGAAACAAGCAGGCAGATTAAGTGACTTGCTGAGGGTCGCATGGCTAGTAAATGTCTGAGGCAGGACTCAAATTCAGGTCTTCCTGACTTCAGCCCCAGTGCTCTATCCGCTGTGCCATCTAGCTGTCTAAACATCCCAGTTCAACCACCAGTCACCATATGGCATGAATTCAAGGCCCTCCGCCATTCCGGTAGCTTTCTTCTAAATGTTCTCCGGCTCATCAGCGTTATTCCATAAACTTGCTTTATGTGCCTGGTGTGCTTGGGAAGAGGGAAGAAGCACACGGGCTAGCCTCCTGTGCCTCCGCACTCTTCTGAAGACTCACCGGGGACAGGGTTACTGTGTTATGCAGAAGAGGGATGAGGCAAACTAGCCATTTGGCCTCAGTTGCAGATGAGTAGGAAAAACATTGCTAATGATAAGAGCTTTCTGATACTCCAGTTGGTTACTGTAGGAGGCAGAGAGCTTCCCCTCTTTGAAAGGCTTGAAGCAGAGACCAGAAGACCATCTGTTAGACATGCTAGTGGGATTCCTGTTGTGTATGGGTTGGACTAGATGGCCGCTAAGATCCCTTGTGTTTCCAGTGGTCTGTGCTCTTCATCCAGATTCTCCCCACCTTGCTTCTGTCTCTTGTTCCTGAATTACTTCACTTGAGTATGTACATTCTTATACATGCCTCCTCCCCTTTTACTGAGCCTCCTTCTTTTAACTGAAGCTCACACTTTTCCAAGTATCACATTTCATTTCATCAAGTCTTAGTGGCCTCTTTGAACTCTAATTTGCCTTCTTGTATTTGGATTTCTAGTTCATCTTTCTTGTTGCATAAACTTTGGTTATCTGGGTACAGACATTTTGCAAAGGTTTTGCTACTGCCTTCTTTCTTGGAATTGTGCATGAACTGCTGAGTGTCTTTATTGCTGTTTTTCTTTCCTCCATTATACCTACTGTCACATCTAGCTTGGATTTACTTAGATTGTCTTCTTTATTTCCCATCCTTTTTAGTTTAAAATCCTCTTAGCAAGATCTGGAGTATGTCAACCAAATACAGCTTTATTTTATTTTTTTTTTCCAGGTATGGCACAGCTTTTATTTCACCACTACCTCTGTTAGAAAATGTATAAGATGCAAAGGATTCCCAGGAGCCCAGGATGAGATATGGAAACACAAAAGCCTCAAATTCCCTCAGCAGGTAAAAGACTTTGAGGGCTGGTGAAAAAACAATCCCATGCCCTTCAAACCTGAATAATCTGAGCAACTCATAGTCATATCAGGGAGGGCTGACAGGGTCTAGGCAAAATCATCTTTTTTTGCCAAGAAGCAGAATATTAGGGAAACCTCCCTCTAGGGAACAAGTGCCTGAAATCTCAAACTTGGGAAATTCTGACGTTGACATTTTAAAAATTTGTGCTTAGTTTACAAAGCAATTTTATATCCGTTATCTCATTTAGTCCTCCTAAGAGCCACCAGAGGTCAGTGACAACAACCATGGTAATAACAACTAGTATTCATATAGCACTTGAAGGTTTTCCAAGTACTTTCTTTATATATGTTATCTTATTTGATCCTCACAGCAACCCTCTGAAGTAGGTGCTATTCTTATTCTCATTTTACAAATGAGGAAATTGAGGCTGAGAGAGGTTAAGTACCTTGAAGCAGGAATTAAGATTCCTATTTTTCAGATAAGGAAAAAGAAGAACCAGAGAAATGAAGGGACATGCTGAAAACCACAGAGTCAGTGACTCAGCTATGACCTGAACCCAAGTCTCATGGCCCCAGGGCTGGTGTTCTTTCAAGTACTCTCCACCAATGTAGAGTGCTCAAGCCAGAGGTCTATGAACCTTGACTTTTCTGTCCAGGAGAGGTATGACCCTGTTGAGGTCTACAATATTATAGCCTCTGAAGAGGTGAGAGAAAGCATTCTGGACTGTAACTCTACTCTGCTGATTCTTGTTCAGCACCTTCTTGACTGGTGACAGTGAGGGAGGCTTCTAAGAGGTTTGGGTTTAGAATGGGGTGTGAGTTCCAGGCTGTAAATTTTAGTGCCTTCAGTGTTGGGGGGTGGGGGGAGACCAGTTGACCCAGGATGTACCTTGGTTTCCCTACTTTTGTTCCTGGCTGGCCCAGCAGTGCCCTGATTTGCTGCACAAGAGCTGGGCCAGGCTATAAGGGGGCAGCCCATTTTCCTCTCCAGGGGCAGGAGGGCTACAAATGATGGCCATTCTCATAGCTGGATACAGGGGTAGACTCCCAGGTACATAGTTCAGGAAGACTCAGCTAGGGTGGGAATTCCAAGTAGCTGGATTGAACTGAAAGAACAAAAAACAAACAAACAAAAAACCCCCAACATCTCTGATGCCCGATTCTCAGGCAGGCTCAGCTGCCTTGTAGACTGGTCTAAGAGAACACGTGGAAGTCCCTTCATTTCAGTTGAAGCCCTAGTGTGCTGGCCTTCTCAGGTGCTGAGCTGAGCAGCTAGTTCTGTATTCTTGGACTTGGTATTTATTACCCATGGGTTACCCCCAATGATGGAATGATCCGCTCTCAGGATCTCTCTTCTCTGATTATGTCTTTCCTCTTCCATCTGCTACTGCAGGAACTACCACCATATCTTAGGCAGGGAAAGTTCATTCTTAGGAACTCTAGTTTCTATTTTATGCTTAGAAAAGGAAATAGAAAGGCAAAAGGAAGCCAAAAACTAAAGACCTGTGAACTCCCCTGTTGGGCCATTTAGGGGAGTAGATGTGCCTCATCACATGCTTCTTTTACCGTTCACCATTAACCATTTGAGGAGCAAGAGGGGAAGGAAAATAACCCTAGCTGCATCTGGAAGACACAAGGGACCAACCAGAGAAGACCACCTGAAGAAAGTACAAACATGTTGTCCTGCTGTCCTTAGGTGTTATCATGCCTCTGACCAGGGACCTGTCATTCTTCTATTCTTAGCCAGGGTCCAGAAATCTGAATTCTGTTTTCAGACAGCACCTTTTTAGCCAGCTGTTCGATCCCCAGATCACTTCTCTGCATCCCTTGCCTTCAGTGGATAATGGGGAGGAAAATGCTATCTGTCATCTTTGCTTTTTTGCCCAAGTCTTGGGAATTTCTCTCAGTGAATGTTCTCTAGGTTCCTTCTGGCAGTAATACTTGTGGCACCTGAAGTGGATGGGGGTCACCTGTGTGACAGATCTTGAGAGATGCTCCAGTATGTTTTGGGTCCATGCCCAGGAGGACGACATCACATGACCGTAGTGTGATTGGCCAGTTAACACAGAGCTCTTCTGGTGCACCTGAACAGGGAGCCAGTCTGCAGGACTCTGCTCTTCCTCTGGCCCATTTCTTGGGGCACGCACAGATGCTTCCTTCTCAGAGCATCCAGCCCTCATCACCAGAGCTCCTCATTTGTTTTTAGCTGCCTGAAGATGTTTTCTTTTATTTCCATCGCTCCTTGCATGGAGCATTCTTCACATTCCAAACACTTCAGGAAGGTAGAAAGTTGCAGTTCAGCCACTCAAAGCCTGTTTTATACTTTGTTTTCCTCTACCATCCTACTTCGGGGGATCGGAAATCACTGAATTTGAAGAGGTATTTCTCAAACTACTTCACCCGTTCTTCCAGGAAGAAAACTAGCCTGCTCTTGGCACATAGACAGGAGTCACATTTAAGCCTCATCCCCAACCTGTAATGGTAGTTACCTCAGGTATTGCTATCCCCAGTTTACAGGAGAGACAAGTGAGGTTCAGAGAGGTTAATTAACTTATGCAGTCGCTCGGAGCAGACCGTGTCACTGAGCTAATCGGTAGGCCATGGATTTTAGAAATGAAAGGGAACTTTGATGGCATCTAGATGGTTCAAACTCTCCATTTTATAGGGGAGGAAACAGAACCAGAGAAATCGAGTAACAAGCCTGAGGTCATTAAGGGATGAAGGGGCACAGTGGGGATGCTTCCCAGGGCTCTGGTAGTCAAAGCCTAGGCTAGGCCATCGCTCAAGGTTCGGAATGGTCATCTGGTCACTATCACAACGCAATTCCCCAGGGATATTAAAAACAAGCAAACAAACCAGCAGCATCATATTGATTTATGCTCGGCCGAAAACTGGGGAAGAAGTACAAAAATAATGAATAAATGCCAGAGCGAGTGGAGGTACGAGCAGCAAAAGCTTGGGAATGGAAGCGAAGTGGAGACGTCGGGGAAGCCGGGGAAGGGGGCGGTCTGGGCGCCAACCCCCCGGGGGAGGAATGCGAGTTGTGCAGCTCTCAGCAGAGCTGGCAGCACAGAACTGAGCCGAGAGCCCTTCGCGTGCGGGCGCCGTGAGGTCCGAGGACACAGGCATGCCCGTGCCGGCGCGACCATGATAGCCCCCTTTAGGGAGCTACCGGCGTGAACACGTGATCGCACGTGGCCGCGCCGCCGGCTGGATTAGCGCCAAGCTCCGCCCCTTCCCATCCGGGCCGCCGTACCACGCTCCCCGGCCTTTGTCGGCTAAGCCGCTGTGGCCCCGCCCCCGCCCCCCCGGGGCGGGGCTCCCAGGCCTGGCTCTCCCCGCCCCCGAGGACCCGGCCTCCTCTCCTCCTGCTCGGGCTGGGCGCGCCAGGGCGGGGCTGGGGGCGGGGCGGGGGCCCCAGGCTGCTCCGCGCCCCTCCGCAAGGCCTGGGGGGTGCTCGAGGGGGGCGGGGCCTGGCCCGGACCCGGCGCTTCCCCCGCCTGCTTCCGAGCAGGCCTCTTCTCCTTCGGTCTCTGGAGGGGCCGCCCCTGAGACCCCTCCGCTTGGGGGAGGGGGAGGGGGAGGGGGAGGGAGGGAGGCCTGGGCACGTGGGTGGGGCAGGAGCGCGGGCGAGCTGGGCCACCGGAGCAGTAGGGGGCGCCCGCGGACGTGAGGAAGTCACGTGGGCGGGCACAGCCTCCGGGCTCGTGCGCAGGCGCCTTCCGGGGCTGGTTCTCGCCTCCCTCCTGACGTCATTTCCGGCTCTCCCCCGCCCTCGTGTCCTCGGTCTCTAGGGGCTCCCTGTCACCTCGGTTCAGCTCCGTCCACGGCCGCTGCCTGGCAGGCCCGCGCCCCGGGCCGGGTGAGTGGGAGGGATCAGTGCTCGCTTTGGAGCCTTGGGCCTGGAGGAAGAGGCTGGCTGGGGGCCACGCCCCGCACGCGAAGGGACGCGCCCATTGGTCAGGTCCGGCGGGGGCGCGGCTCTGGAGCCAATCCGCGGGCGGGGCTGGGGCTGGGGCGGGCCCTGCCGCCTGGGCGCTGGCCCACCCCCGAACGTTGGTCCTGCCTTCGCTTCGTAACCGTGGGACAGCGAGCAGCCCTTCCCCGCAGGGGGCTTATGTTCTAAGAGGAGACACGGGCACCACGTAGTGTAGTGTAGCGTGGTGTAGACCGCCTCAATACGGATATATCCAGGAGGGAAGGAGGGCTGCACTGGGGGGAAGTGGATCTAAGAGGTGGCGGTGAGGTGGGACGGCATTCATGGGGGCAGCCAGTGCAAAGTCTGGGAGGTGGGAGATGGATCTTGTGCATGAGGAACACAGAAAAGGCCGGCTTGGACGGAGGAGTGATGCCCAGTGAATCTGGAAAGGCAGGTGTGGCCGGGTAGTGCTTATATTTCCCTGGAGGAAATAATAGTAACAATAATAGCTAACCTTTATGTACCACCATAAGCCTTGTGAAATCCTGCACAAAAATCTGGTGATCTTCACAACTCTGTGATGATCGGTCACTGGCCCAGGGGTTAAGTGACTTGCCCAGGATCACACAGCTAAGTGAGTGTCGGAGGCTGGATTTGAAGTGAAATCTTCCTGACTTCAGGTCCAGCACTATATATAGGAAGCCCCTTCTGTTGATGAGTGGGACTGTGAGTGGTGAGAGCTTCATTTAAGAAAGATCACTTTGGCAGCAGTGGGGAGGGTGGACTGCACTGGGAGGAACGTGGGTCAGGAGACCCATTAGAAGGCTGCAGTAAAATCCAGAAGCGGTGGTGAGGACTTGTGCCCAGGGCGGTGCTGGGAGTGGGGAAGAGAGAGCTGGACGCAAACAATATGAGTGAAGGTAGAAACAACTGATCAGACGCTGGAGCATCCAGGATGATGCTAAGAAGGCGGACCCGAGATGCTGGGATGAGTTGGTTGTACTTTTCACAGATGAGATTTGGTGAGGGAGGGGTTTAGGGAGAAAGACGATGAGTTTGGTGTCAGATATATTAAGTTTAATGTACCTATGGGACATCCTGTTGGAACTGTGGGTGTGATGTGGGGCTGACTGGAGCTCAGAGGAGAGACTGGGGCTTGACATGTAAGTAGATCGAGGAGGTGAGAATTCCTCCCACGAGAGCTGTTATGAGATTGCCTAGAGAGGGAGAATAAAAGTGGGACCCAAGACAGATCCTTGGGGAACAGCCACAGTTAGGTGGTATAATGTGGATGATGAGCCAGCAAAGGAGACTGAGGAGGATTTAGACAGGTAGGAGGCAAACCAGAGGAGAGGCGTGTGCTGAAAACTCAGAGAGAAGAGTGGTCAGCAGTGTCAAGTGCAGCAGATAGGCTGAGAAGGGTGACGGCAGAAAAGAGAACACTGGTAACTTTTAGAGACAACAGTTTCAGTTGCTTGATGAGGTCAGGAATCAGAGCTGCTGGAAACAGGAGGGTGATGTGGCCAGACACAGGCTTTAGAGAGATCCCCTTTCTAATTAGCCAAGTGCCGGATGGAGGCAGACTAGGCCATTGCTGTAACCTCCGGGAGCATCGATGGGTGCTGGAACCAGTCTCATTCCATACCTCAGCCTTCAATTTCAGCTCTCCCTTAATTGCCCAGATGGAGGGTCTTTCCTGGATCTTCTCATTGACCTCATTCTCTACTCACTCCTCCTCGATGCTCTTCTCTTCCCTCTGGAGTTTCGGGACTGCTTTCTCTTGCTTTTCTCTTACTTGTCTGCTCCTTAGCAGTCTCCTTTTCTAGTTACGTGTCCTAATGGTGAGTGCACCCGAGCTAAGCCCTGGACTTCCTTCTGCTGTCTCTTCACAATCTACTTGGTGACCTCATCACCCACCAAAGGTTCAATGATTAACTCTGTGTTGATGATTCCCACTCCTATATATCCAACTCTGGTCTCTCACCTGAGACATTATATGGTTTCATTTTTTTTTCCATTAAAATAAGTGGCAAGGTACTTATCTGAGAGAGGGGGACAAGAGGTAGGTGTGGTGGAGAAGAGAGAAGGTTTGCAGGGCAGCGAGGTGGCACAGTGGATAGAGCACAGGACCTGGGTTCAAATCTAGCCTCAGATACTTGACATTTACTAGCCGTGTGACTCTGGGCAAGTTGCTTAACCCCAATTGCTTCAAAAAAAAAAAAGAAAAGGTTTGCAATAGTTTTTGGCGGGGAATGAGATAAGGAATAACTAGGGAGGCATACAAGTACTGTATTGTAGTATATTGTTTGCTGATTATAT